CTTGGAGTTTTGCAAATTTCATGCTTTGTGGATTGAGTCTTTGATAGGTAGATTTTTCAGAGGGGTTTGTGAATTTGTCTGCACTTGGTGGAACTCAAAAACACTGAGGAGTTGTCTGAGCTTGCTCTCTTTTTTATTTTTTTTTTTCCTTGAGTACATAAAACAACTTTTCCAAAATAGTTTCAAACACCCATCTTGTCCATTGCTAAATGAGAGGGCATTTCCAGGACAGGTCTGTATTTCCTCTCCAGTTTTACATTCCTGGTTTTCTTATAATCAGTGGCCTCAAAGGAATGCAGTCAGTCCACCTACTTTTTTCCTTTCCTTAAAAACTAACAAATCCACTGGCAATGTCAACCAAATGCACCAAAGGAAATCAGTCCTCAGAGACTGTCAAGATTTTACAAGTTTCATGAAAATAGTTCTTTGGTAGAGAGAAGTGATCTTTTCCATGCCATGACTCCCAGAAAAGTTTGTTCACTTATCACATATGCAAGAATCTGTGTTAGCACTGGGGCAAGAGGCAAAAAAGTACCCATGCTTCTGATTGCCCCACTCAAGGGAAATAGTTCAGTGAGAGCTGACACCTTTTTTAGACACTGATATAAATCATGGCTCTTCATGAAATCAGCCTTTGTGACTCCCAGTATACCTGACCTTGCCAATCTTACACAGACAATTAAACTGTTAATACAGATCTTTAAGTATCTCTTCACAGTTACCTGTGCCAACTCAGATGGGAAGTTTTAGATTGAGGTCACTCTCCAGCGTAGATTTATTCATTTATTTATTTATGATAATTATCATGTGATATTTTGGAGAAGAGAAATCTATTTATGCAAGAGCCATTAGGTTTGTAAAGCTCAAGCCATGCCCTCCACACAACAGAAACAGCAGCAAAGCCATACAAAGATGCCAGAGTAAAGGATATGCTCAGCAAGCCTCTGACTTGCAAAATCTGGGGTTGTTTTTCTTCTCTTTCCTCAATGCAGGAAATTCACGCTAGCAAAGAAGCTATAGCTGAAATAAGGTATTTAGAAAATCAACAACAAAATAGTTGGAGCTGACATGACTACTTTCCCTCTGATCTCTAGCCTCTGAGCCCCTGCTGTCACAACTCACCTTCTGGATACAGCAAAGAGAGCAAAGGAAACTGATGACCTCTCACCCACATCAGCACCCACAGCAGCAGCACCAGTGCATTAGGCCAGGTTGCTCTGGGAATATACAGCTGGATTTTTGGCATAATATTTATCTTCTTAACTCATACAGTGTCTTTAAGCAAATATTCCTAGTAAAATTAAATGCTGCTAGACCTCTCTTATATTAAAGAATGCCTTCATGTCCCCCTGTGCATGGGTGAGGAATTCATAAAATCTGAGGTCCTTTATGTTTGCATTGAGAGGGTACCCCCACCCTCAACGTGGCTGTTTGTCAGTGGGGTGACAACTGCAATGCAGAGTTATCTGACATTTGTTTTCTAATGCACATGCTATTTCAAAAAGAATAATGTAAATGTAAATAAATGCGAAGGAATCCTGAGGACAGAAAAATATTTACCAAAAAACCACTTAATGAAAAGCCCACATATTGCTCTGTATTGTTTCACTGACCATATATATATGTTAATTCTTCTAAGCCTCATTTGCCTAACAGCATGGAAACTGCCAGCATTTTAAGAGCTGCTATCAGATAACTTGAAATGACATTAGACAGACCATACAAACAGCACGCAGACTCTAGTGACTGTTTCCTTGGATCTGATCTGAGATGCAGCATGGTTTTGCTACATGTAGACTTTAAGGTTGCTGGACACCACCTGAGTCCCTAAGCTTCTGTGGTAAGAGAAGTTACACAATACATTGCAACTCTGAGAAATGTCACGTGTTGGAGACTGATCTGAAATTTTTATTTATACCCTTGCCAGTCCAGGGGGTTGTTTTTCCCTGCTTCTATCTTCTCATACTTGGCTGTCAATTCTTACTCAGTGAGATGAGAAAACTGAATTTCACTTTTAGGACTGTTTTCATGATGCATCTAGGGTCACAGCAGTACAGAGAATCCCCAAGCCAGAACTCCCTGTGCTACACACTAACTCAAAACAGTCACAGAGAGAGACAGGCGGTATGGATCTCAACTGCAGAGATACTCTGAGATCGTGAAAACATTGTGCATGTACTGAACTCATTAAAAGGAGCTCTATTACTTTCTAGGGTCTTTTCACGTGTTTCAGAAGATGCCTGTTAGGATGACAGCACAGACAAAACCAGCAAACTTACAAAGGATGCCTTTACAGAAGAGGGAGGAGAACGGAACAAATCCTCCAGAACAAGCTGTATTTCTAGTACACAACTATGCATCCTTTCACCAAGATTTCCTCCATTTAAATAAGATTATGAAAATATTTTCCCATCCCCTGCATATAATGTCAAATTTAAATTACTCTTCTTACTCACTAGTATTTCTCATGAACTTCTCATCTGGTTGCATTTAGAGTATCTGTTTTTTTCACGCCAGCTGCCTTCCCCCATCTCTCCATTTCAATAAAACCTGTTAACACACTTGAGAGTCAAACATGAACAAAAAATCTCCTATTCCTTCCAAAGTATGGCATTCATGAAGATGTCATAAATAAATAAACATTCTCTAGTGTTCTGTTTCTTTTGTCTAGCTTATTGGTGTTGAGAAACCCTCTTCGTCATTTATTTATGTTGGTATTTTATTTCCTTATTGAGTTTCAAAGATGAAAAGAGAAAAATAAGTACCAAGGAAATAGCTGAGAGATTGAAATGACCAAGAATTTTCCCAGGGAGGTTAAAAAAAATATGCTTTAATATGAAGAAGTTGGTGTCTCATTATTTAATTTAATATACCTGCTTTTTATATGGAATGCACGACATTCTGTGTATGAGAGTAGACAGCAAGCCAGTATAGTAAAATCAATGTGCAGGAATGCAGTTTCTTCCAATTCGGATTTAGTGATATTGCATTTTACTCCCCTAAAAGACTGTTGTGCTTCGAAGCAAGGCAATCCTGCCTAGTCCAGCCTTATTCAAATGGCAGAATATGTACAGATCAGACAGCAAGTCAGTTTTGCACCGATCCACTGAGGTCCCCTGCACATGCCTGCAGCGGATGCAATATCCTTACCTTTCCCCAAATTCCCTAGGGACACAGCATATGACAACATACTTGCAGCTCCCATGAAAAGACAATGTGCACAGGATCAAGTCAGCAAGTGGGATGATCTCTTTATGTCACCTCATACTTCATTAGAGATCTTGGTAAATTGATCAAATCTCAAAAAATTATTGCTCAGACTCTAATTTTAAAACAAATTGATAAACCTCAGTGAAAATTAACAGACTTTGACAAATGCTAATTGGGTAGGTAAGATGCTTATCTTAGGTCTCACAATACAGTCTACCTTTTGTGACTTAAAAACTTCAAGCACTACACCTAATTCTTATATGCAACTAACATGAAAATTTAATTGTTTCCTGTTGCCTGGGTCCATTTTTCAAAGCCACAGTAATTCTTTGGTAGAATTAAATCCAGTTTGATCCTTGTACATGGCTCACCAAAGGACAATGTAGTATCTTTTCTACAGCACTGTTAAATACACTCACAGTTGTATTTTCTCAGAAAAGGTCCTTTCTAGAGGTGAAAATGGAGGCATTAGAACACAGCATGCTTTCTGTGTCCTACTTCATAACCTCACACCTTATATGAACTGTGAAACTTAAGACTAAGGGACAAACATGACAAACCAGCCAAACAGTACTATTTTTATTCTCATGACAAAGCCTGTGTTTGGTTGGTTGGGTTTTTTTAACTTCTTTTTAAAGACAAAAGTCATGCCTTTTCCAACTGAGGACAATAAAGGCTGTAAGAATGCTTAGAAACCTCACATTACCTTACTGGGTTGCAGCAATAAGTATGTAGATGCTACACTGACGAAACTCCCGCTCCTCGAGCGGTAACATGCTCAAACTTCCACTTATTCTGCAAAACAAAACAATAAAAAAACCCCAACCTGCTGCATAGTTTTGAAGCTGTAGCCCTTGGGCCTAGAATCTTACAGGTTAAACTTACAGGTAAATTTTTGACAGAATTTGACTTTCAAATTTGTAGGGTAAATGTAGAAAGCAGTGGTGACAGTGCAGGCAGAGCTCCTCCCTTCTGAGTCACTTCTGCTTGGATATCACAGGAAGACGGGAGCAGTGCTGTATACCTGCAGGTGTCACCTTACCAAGGGATCGTACTACAGCGATCCTGACCTTTTGGCAGGGTGTGAAGAAAGCGTCCACGATCTTTTGCAGATGGAGGGTTATTCCACTTTAGTGTGTGGGCCAAATTCTAACTCTACCTCGTTTCTACCTACCAAAGAAAGAAAACGGACAGGAAAAAAAAAATATCTCCAAACCAGCACAGATCATGTGGTCTGACAACCCTTGAAGAAGAGGAATGCTGTGTTACAGAGGAGCGCTGGCCGTACCACAGCAGCAGGTGGTGAGACTCAATGCAGGGTAGTAAATCTCTCCAAGGTCCTTCTGGAATGAAGGCACTGAACAGCCATCACATGCTGCTATTTTTTTAACAAATCACATCTAATCCAACAAGTGGAACCACCTAAAAGCTATTGTTATATTGAAGCTATTTTTAGTTGAAGAAACCAAGACTGCAAAGTAAACTGGATAGTAAGAAGCTCAGACTAAAAATACTTGACAGTAACATGATATCTTTGGATCAGAAAACATGGCTGTGCTAGTAAACAAGCTACTTTCTCCTACAGCACAACTCATAAGCACGGCAATACACCGTCTGTCCAGAGAGACAACAGTGCATAAATGGGATGACCTCCAGCTAAAGTCCATCTTCCCTCCGAAATCCTCTCTTCAGCCCTTGCAGAGAAAGTCTCAAGCTTTAGTCTGATTGTCCAAGTCACAACATGAAGAATTCCTCCACATCCCTAGCAAAAAATGCTGTGAGAAGAAGATGGAGCACAAATCTAATTCATCTGCATTTCCTCTACGTGTTTTTGTGCCCCAGATACCTCCAGAGGAAAGGAGAAGACAGTTCTCTGGAGCAGTTGTCTCTCTTCTTTGCCCATGCTATGATTAGCAGACATCCCTGGGTGAGTGCTGAGGAACACTGAAACCTCTCTTTTCCTCTAAATGAAAAAGTAGTCAAGGGAACATTTTGGACTCTAATTGCTTCAGCAGTGAGGTGAAAGCAAATTTTCTTGCAAACTCAGCTTCCCCAGTACAAGCAATACTAGAAAAACTAAGTCCTTTAAAAAAAAAAAAAAGGTTGGGTTGAACTTGACAAATGAGGATGTGGTATTTTCTGGCCATAAATTAGAACCTTCCAGCTCTCTGACAGGAAAGCGCAAGTCACTCCTCTGGAGGGCTGAGAGTGCAAGAGGCCGCTGACACGGCTATTCCTGAATCCAGAGCTGCAGCACTATGGCATTCATGTCATCAGTTTCTCACTAAGGACTAAGGGGCTGAAGCATGTTTGAATGAGCTCTTCTCTGCATTTCTAGCCATGTATCCATATTTCATTTCTACTAACCTACTTCTGCTAAGAGATGTGCAGTGTTCTATGAGGCTGATGTCTGGCATACAGCTTGTCGACTGCCAGTTTAATCCCTTGTAATAATAACTGGCGAGGGTTTAGTGTATGTCTTTCACCAGCATCCCCATATTTGTTTATTTTTTCTTTTTCCATTTATTTGACTGCAGGTCAGACGCAACTTGATGAAATTTGGTTTAATTTCTTTGCTTTTAGTAGTGCTTCACCAGTTTAGACTGATTGAGAATTTTTTCTCAACAGTATTCTTTGTACCAGACTTCTTGTTTTGCATACAAAATACAAGCATGTAATGAGTTTTGTGTTTTATCAGTCCAGGCTATGTGTATGTGGCTCAGCAGACAGGTCCAAGCACTGGTTTTCCCATTGGGCACTATGGTGGGGTGTGTGTACAACATTTTAAATATGCACAGGAGTGTGCTTAGCAGGCAGTCATTCAGCTGTCATGCCACACGGAACACCAATGCGATTTTGCAGATTTGTTAAATGTCTCTCAGTTGCCTGTGATCAGGACAGGTAAGCATGAGACTTAGGTGTTTCACACTCCAATTTCTAAGTTTTAGCTAGTCTGCAAATCCCAATTTATTGCTTCCCTGACACAACTGCCTTGCTTTTTGTCAACATTAAGAATCATTTTTCTAACCCTGAGTGTGTTCCATGGTGGGTGTGAGAGCTTTGTGATTCTGCAGGTTCAGCCTCTGTAATTCGCTCCCTCCATTACAGCATCCTAGGACAACTTCAGTTCACACCAGGCACCAGCCTCATTTACTTTCTGAACTGTTCCAGCACTGGACAGCACTGTTCAGTATAGCACCCATGACTTGGTATTCATAAACCCTTTCCCTTGGTTTTTTTTTTTTTCCCTAAGATACCTTTTCCTTGTGTTCCCCTACCAACATGACGTGCATTGTAACTTTTATGGATGCCTTCAACCTCTGGCTTCACTCATCATTCACCTCTGCTTCCCCTGACATGCCTATTATTTTCCTACAGATAGGCAATGTGTCTTAAATCTACAGTTCTACAAGCTTTGAATTTTGTTTGCTGGATCACTGAAATTCTGTGTCACCTCTTCCACTGCCCTTTAAAGGGAAAAATATTCCCATCAGAAATTATACCTGGTGGTTGACATTTGGTGATTTAATTGGGAATAAGGATGTTTTCATAGTTGAAGTTCATGTGGCTTAGAGCTCAAATACTGTAACAAAAGGGACTTTGGAATACAGCAATATTAATAGGTTTCAGGGGGAAAAAAAATCCTATGATGAAATCTGTTATAACTGGGTCACTATCAGGAGAGAGATGGTGGAAGCTTCCCCAGTTAGGAGACTTAGCAGAAATTCACAATTCAAGAACATGAGTGCACTACCTACTTTATGCTTCCCTAGGCAAAGTCAAACTATCACCCATGTAGCACACACTGAGCAGAGCAGAGGTTAGACATTCTGCTCTTCTCTGTAATGGGACATGGTTGGTGGAAGTGCAAAGATTAGCAGACAAAGCTGTGCCTAATGTTATCAGCTGAATGCTTTCACGGAGCTATGGCATTATGGAACTTCAGCAGAAATGTCTCACTGACCGAACTGATCTTACTAGGTTAACAGAGAAAGAATTACTTTTATTTTCAGCCCTGCATAACAAATCATGGTGGTTTAGGCCCCAGGCATTCTAATAATAGTGTTAGCAAATAAAATGTGCATGTAAGTATATGTATACATATATGTATATGTATATGTATATAGAAATTCCAGCCGCGTTTAATTGATGGAGCAGTGAATGTTCCGAAGACCACTATTATTTACTGAAATAAAGCACTAGCAAGAATGACTGGTGTGCAATATAATCAGGGTCTTTGTTGTTTCCAGAAACCTAATGAATGAACACACAACATCCATTGGTTTCCAACATGACAGGCATATGGTGCTCATAAATAAATAAAAAGCATGATATTACAGTTACGCTGATACCACTGAGTGGCAACATTTGGTAAACTGGAAAGCTATCTATTCTATCCTACCTCCTCAGCAAAAACACAAAAATCTCTGAGTAAAACCAATTAATTGTGACTGATAGCTTTTGGGGTTTCCTCCCATTAAGCCGTGTTACTAGGTTCCAAATGAAACACTAGATCACTTTCTCATTTATAGCTTCGGATATATATATTTTAAAACCATTAAAATTACATAGAAGGTAAGTGGCAACTATAATACCCTTCAGCAAAAATATCTCTGTACCTAGGAGAGATTCCCAGCAATATAAAAGACTGCATCAGGACCTGGGTGCCTATGTTCTACTTTGATTTAAAACTGAGATCCTGAAAAGGCCAAAATAGCTGCCTACAGGAACAACCCTGCTCTTTTACAGTGATCTACTGTTCGTGGTACTTACCCAAACATGGGTAACCCTGGTTCAATTTCCAAATTTCCATGTGTTTAGGAACCTCAGTCTCACATCTCTCCCAGGAATGCTCCACCGAGACACTCCTTTTCCACAAGTTCTCACTTCTTGCCCAAACTGCCACACTTCACCAGTGGCATCATTCCTGCAAAATTTGCAGCATATAGGAATACATTTCTTTCTGCTACACTTGCATTCCAAAGCCACAACCAGATCCCTAGCAATAAGTCATTAGCTGATCCACCTCAAAACACCAAAATACACCAAAATACATATTATCTCAAGCAACTGGGAAAATGACACTGGTGAAGTTGTCCACGGACTTCCCTTCAGCACAATAAATGCTGTACAGTCCATGCCTTTAAATCTTAAAATCCATTAGTCTTGACTGCAAACTTAGCCAGACATCCAGCATGGCCAGGTAAACACTGTCCCACCAACTCAAGCTAACTTCAGGCTAATCCTCATCTGAATTCATCCAGATTCATCAGTTTTCTGTGGGACCTACAGATTCTGTAGATAAGCCTCACTCTTCAAGCTTTGGAGAAACCTGCCCTCCACAAAGACACAAGCCCCAGTCAGTCCAGAACATTTTCACAATGGGTGAATCAGAAAGAACTCCCTTTCTAGGCTGTACATGGTAACCTCCTTTGGGTTAAGACTAGCCCAAAATCTGGAGTTAACATATGGTATATGAGAGAAGCATACAATATATTCCTGATCACTAAAGTGTTCAAATGGTCTTTAATTGATTTCCATATGATAGAGGTCACCTTTCTCTTTGGGTAAACCTAAAGTGGTGATTAAGACTGAGATATTATTGGAAAATATTTTTATTTCTGAGGGCAGCTGAAGGAGTAGATAGCCTCGTGCAAGTAGAATCATATCAGCCACAGTTAGGTCATAAGATCATGCATCCAAGAGCTGGAGCTCTGTGTTTGTTTTTCGCAGATTATTCCACACAAAAATAAAGGCTTGTGTTGACAGTGGACTGAATGGACTAGAGGAAGTTGCAAATGATGGGGTATCACTTCTCTGGGATTTAGGTAAGGATTCCTAGGAATCCTAAGGCTGGAAAATCATAGCCTAGATTCTGTCAGGACCACCAAGGCAGAAAAAAGTCTAGAAGGGATGTAAGGTAAAACTGAGTTTTGAGGAATTATACTTCAATAGTAGGAGTTGTTTTCCTGTGATGGTGTTTGTGATACAGTTCAGTTATAGGAATGAATAGAGAACTGTATTTATTCCTGAATTTTACTGGGATTGCCATCTTAAATTGAGGGTGCTAATACAGTAGTAGGACTGTTGTAGCATAGCTTACAGGATATATGTTGATCTGTTAATGGCCAGCTTCACTTCTGGTTTTACAGAAGAGGATGTGTTAGCCTGTCAGAGTAGGTCGAAAACTGTAATGGAGATATTTTGAATTAGCAGTATGAACAAGGGCTGCTTGATGAACCCTACCTAAATGCAAGAAGCTTGTCTTTTGTTGAGACAGAGGTGTGGAAAGTTAGGGTTTTCTTCTGAAAAAAAAAAAAAACCAACCAAAAAACCAAAAAACTAACAGGATTTTTTTCTGAATCCTGGACAACCTGCTGTTGCTGCTAGACCAAAAAGCTAGATTTTGGGTTTGGGTCTGTCAATGTCATCAGTCTTCCACTTGGGCTGAAAAAGGTGAACTCCTAAATACGTCTGCAAGTATTTCTGGGACAGCCAAATGTTGCTTTTCTGGCCTTCATACAGGAGTTTGTGCAATGACCGGAAAGCCAGTCTAATTCACCCTTTGTGCAGACACAAGACACTCAGGAGTGCTGGGCACAGCAAGGAAAAGGAAACATGATGGGGTGGACTACATTTGGTTTCAGATGAACTTTTTAGAAGTTCATCTTCTAGGTCCACAGGGGTCTGAGAAGTTAAATGCACTACTAAGTGGGCTGTGTGCTGCAGGGCTTCATTGAGCACTGACACCCTTAGCTGGGCTACTATTTAAGTTCAGGTCACTGGGCTAGCGTTTAAAGTTACGATTATCCCTCGGAACAGAAGTGGCTGGAGTGTCAGGTTTAACACAATGTTCCAGACCAACAGGAGAGTCAAGCTGGAAGACATCTGGGGACAGAGTTAGCTGACATAACTGAATTTAGGTGAACGTCAAGGGCTTGTCATAATTTAACTTGAAAAGCAACATTTATGTCTCATTGTGCTAGATTTCACTTGAGTTAGCCTTAACATGTTAAAACAAATTTAATCTGGAGAGTCTGAAGGGTCAAGTAGGGTTTAGTGACAGCATGGCTTAGGATTGGTATAGGTATAGGCCATTAGAACTAGGAAAGTTACTGATGAAAAAATCAAATGGAGCTAAGGTTAGATATGGGCAAAGAGGGCCTGAGTTTAGGGCGAAGTGTTCTCATTAGGGTTAATGTTTGGTACCAGAGGGGCTGAAGAACTTTGTCCTGCAAATGTCCTGCAAATGATGCATTGCTCATTTTCCTAAGCGTGAGACTCTTCATAGGGAAAAGCCTAGCAGACAGAAGAAGGTGAAAGAGGAAAAAGAGACACACAGTACTTATCAAGACTTTGGGACTGCAAGAGGATGGTTTAGAAGTCTATACACATATGCACATCTGTTTTCCCCAATCTTTAACCTTCCTCCCATCCTTCCGGTCTCCCTGTGAGTCTCCCTTCCCCCCAACTCCCAAAGTCCTCTGTCTCTTCATGTCACACAGACATTCCTTTCTTTATGTTTCTCTTCATCATTCCCAGTCCCAGCATTGGGCAGAGGCAGCAAGAGAAGAGAAAAACAAGGGAAACAGCTTTACCATTTTTTTCGTCTTGTGACCGAACAAACAGCAAGAACCACAACCACCAGCACCACCACAATGCAAATGGATGTGTTGCAGCACCATAGTCTTGCTAGCTTGGAGAGAGTAGTAAGTGAAGGTTGCAGAGGTTTGACCACAAGCCTTCGGGGAGGGATCGAAGCATTTGAGGACCGCCAGCAGCCAGTGAGCCGGCTGTGCCCGCGGGCTCTCTGGCCGGCCGGGCACCGCTGTCCCCACCGGCCCCTGTCTCCTGGCACTCGCTGTTTGCAGCAAACCTGCCTCGAAGGGCACCGGGCGTCCCCGAGGGGCACCTCTGAGGCCGCCCCTGTGCTGGCGGCCCCGAGGCCCGGCTGCCGCCGCACGGGGGGCATCCAGCTGTTGCCGACAGCTGAGTGTCAGCCCCGGCCGCGCCGCGGCCGAGCGCGGGGTCCGCCCCGCCGCCGTCCCCGCCCCTGCGAGGAGGAGGAGGAGGAGGAACCGAGAGTGACCGACCCGGTGGCTTTTAGGGGGGAGGCCACTCAGTTGTTAGAGCCCAGGCCCTGCACTCCTCTTCCAGCTGCTGTTTCTGCTCGTTTCCAGCACTACGGCCGCCAGGCTGGCTGCTGCCCGGCCTCCCCTCCTCCTTTTGCCGGTACCTACCTCAAAACCGCCCGAGGCTGCGAGGCTCCGCTCTTGAAGGAGGAGGAAGCTGGGTCTGCAAAGGCAGAAGGGAATTGCATTGTAGCTGGGTGGCGGGGGGAAAACGGGGGGCGGGGGAAGAGAGGAGAGAGGAAAAAAAATTAAAAGGAAAAAAGGAGGCTGAGTCTGGAAGCGGGTCTCGCCGCCCAGGACCCGCACGCCCCGGCGGCCACGCGTGGGTGCAGATCGCGGCGCGGCGCGCAGGGCCGGGCTGAAGATGCACACGACGCAGAAGGACACCACTTACACCAAGATCTTCGTCGGGGGCTTGCCCTACCACACCACCGACTCCAGCCTGCGCAAGTACTTCGAGGTCTTCGGGGACATCGAGGAGGCGGTGGTCATCACCGACCGGCAGACGGGCAAGTCCCGGGGATACGGCTTTGTAAGTGCCGGGGCGCTGGGCAGGGCGGTGGGCGGCTGCGGTGGGGGGGCGTCGCGGGGAAACTTCCGCGGGGGCCGCTGTGAGAGCTCGGGGCCGGGAGGGGCGTCCGGCTTTTTGCTTTTCTCTCTTCTTTCTTTTTTAATTTTTTTAAGGGGGGGGAGAATTACTGAATAAGGAGATTGAGGGGGGGAATTGCCCAATTCCTCGCACACCGCCGGCGCGCCTGTTGCTCGCTGATACGGCCGCTGCGGGGTTTATCTGCCGGCGGCCGAGCTCGGCCCGCGCCCTCCACCCTGCGCCCGCCGCGGCTCCCGGCGCCCCGCTCCGCTCGGCGGGCGGGCCGGGGCCGGGGTCCGGCCGGGGGCCCCTCGGCGCCTCCCGCGGGTACGGCCGGGTCGCTGCTGTGGGCGGGAGGCTTCTCCTTCCCCGCGGGAAGGGATCTAACGCGCGGCATCGCCCGTTAAGGTCACCATGGCTGACAGAGCTGCTGCTGAAAGGGCTTGTAAGGACCCCAACCCCATCATCGATGGCAGGAAAGCCAACGTGAACCTGGCGTACCTGGGTGCCAAGCCGCGGATAATGCAGCCAGGTGAGGAAGCAGCCCTGAATGGCTTTTATCTCCGTACCTCAGGTTTCTGAAGAGAGTAAAACTTCAAAAAAGGTGGTGCTGCCCTCCACCTTCCTGAAGTACGCACACAGTTGGGCGTGCTTTGGTTTTGATTTTTAAATGAAGCATGTAGTAATTTTCTGGCTATTTTGCACATGTGCCTTATTTCAAAAACAAAAGCGATCAGAGATAAAATTTCTGGAGTTCCCCAGGAAGACTTGCACAGCTCAAACACTTCATTGGTTATTCCTGCTGCTGGGAATGTGGTGGCGCTGACCATTTACAGTATCGTTGCAGGGTAAGATTGGCCTAGGAGTGAATCGCTTCCAATGTGTGCGGTCTTATTAACACAAACAATATCTTAATACAAACTTCTCAAGCAGATGGGAGCTATTATGCAGATTTTAAAATGAAGTGGCTTTTCCTAAGACCACATCTGAGACAATCTGATGTCCTAGCCACTTCCCAGAATGCTGCTTTGCAGCAAGAGTGAGAGGAGCGTGGAGTGTGTGCACATTTGTGCTCTAAAGGAGGTCATTCTGAATTCCCCTGTGTTTAGCTTGATGAACACTTGTGCGAGTAATTAAGTGCCCGCCAAGGAAAGACAAGGTTTATGCTAGGGTGTCTGGAGAACAGAAATGAAGTTGGGATTTGACCCCCTGTGCTAAGTCCTGATGAGTAGGGGTGACTTAAATTTTAAGTCTGTAGAAATTACACAGCTACACTGAGGAATGGAAAGTACCATACAGTCATTCAGATGCTAAAATTAGGGATCCAAATGGAGCACCAAGTAAAATGTGAACGAAACCCCTGTACTTGTTTAGAAAATGTCATTTTCCTAAACATCTCTAGGAAAGCAAATGCTTTACTGGTTTAAGTTATCTGTGTGTGTGTATGGACTGATATATTGCTTTCTGATTTTTGGTTCTACAGCCTTTCACCTGTTGTTACTGCAGGCTGTTAGTAAAGGCTCTTACTCTGTGGGGTTTTTGTGTGTGTGTGCGTGTGTGTGTATATATATAGCATAAATAAGTGACCACAAAACACCCATACAGGGAATGTGATGTGTTTTTGTTGGTAGGTTTTGCCTTTGGTGTCCAGCAGCTTCATCCAGCTCTCATACAGAGGCCTTTCGGGTAAGTCTCAATGGGACCTCAAACAGGGGAGGAAAAAAATCTTTTTTTAAAAAAAAGGAAAGAAAAAGTATGATTGTTGAAGGCCTCTTGCAGTAGCATCCTTAAAGCTGGCCAGCACTGCTGAAGCTCTCAGATTTATAAATGTATACTCATAAATGCGCTCACCTTGTTGGTCATGTTCTAAATGCCGCAGCTGAGTCAAGTTGTGTGGGACGTGGCCCTTCCGACTAAGCAGTCCAGTCCCACATGACCCTATGATAAAACAAGGAGGTATGACTTGATGCAAGATTGCTGTGCCCCATTTCTCTTTTTTCAGCTTGACTCAATGTTATTTATCTCTTTCTAATCTGACAGGGATCGTTTACAGTTAAGATAACTGATCAGAAGGATATGATGATAAGAGGTGGAATAGTTCTGTTTGGAATTAAACTCTGTAACCAGTAGACTCAAACACAAACAAGCTAAAATGGTGATTAACGATGCATGTATGTTTTTTCATATAGTCAATAGACCTCCGTGTGCTTTTTTTTTATTTATTACAGTAATGAAGTGGTGTTGATAGCTAAACTGTGTGCTTTTATTTAATTGAAAGAGCTGTAGTGAAAGTTTTTTGGGGGGGATCTTTTTTAATTTTGGTTTTGTTGTTGAGGAGTGACTTTGCCATGGGGAGCAAAGGGCCTTTTTTTTCCTTGCTTTCAAGCTGTAGCCTGTGACTTTTTTAACCATATTTTGTAGTGAGTGCTAAATTGTGTGACTTCTTGATTTTTAAGTAAATCAACATATTGCTTGCATGTTCATAATTTTTGGGAGGTTTGTTCTTGGGAAGGGTGTGAAGCTCTTTATTAACGATGTGCGTCCATTTGGGCTTTCTAATTTGAGGGAATTTTTTCTTCAAACTGTCTTTAATATGTAGTGCATTTCTCCTGAATTTGAGTATAAACTATTCCTAAGTGGAACTAACTCTCGCTTTTTATAGGCATATCATTAGGAGGTGAAGTCTGCTATAAGCTTTCCATAGTGTCTCTTCACTAATGCACAGTGACTGAGAAACTCATTGCGAAATAGTGCATTTTGCTAATTAATGCATAAGCTAACAAGAAAGTAGGGAAAAATGAGTCACAAATGTATTTTGTTTATTTGGTTAGAATGGCTTTAGATTATCATACTTATCTGTTATTAAGCAACAACAGCTTCTCAGTAATTTGATTTGTCAGAATGGAAGGAAACAGTTCCTATCCTGAAAACCACAGGAAAAAGTTTTTTCTAGAAACTTCATGTAATTTTAAAAGAGCGTCTTGATTCTTCCAAGAGTGGGGAGGCTGTAAAAACTTTTTGCTTTTTTTTCTACTTTGTTATGATTATCCTCTACTGTATTTTGCTTGCTTCTTTGAACTGTGAGATGACAGTGTGTATGCAGTGATCAGTTTATGATGCCTGCACTAAGGTAGACAGGAGGCAGAACACCTCCTCTCCAGAGCTGTTAAAACACTTGTTGAAAGGGAACTACTGAATTGTGCAGGGATCAGCTGTGGAGAGACTAAGTATTTGCTGAGCACAACAGAAAAGGAGGATCTGTGGCAGTCTCTTGCTTAAAGGACTCTGCAAATATAGGAGTCTTTCTTGCTTTCCTTACCCAGAGCCAACAATAGATGACATAAACCATGTTTAAGTCAGGGAAATCCTTCCAGCAAGCTGCATAAGGTTGGATTTCTAATGCATTGCACATAAATCTGAAAGAATGTTGGTTGCAGAGTCATGTATGTATGAAATTGGTAATTTTTCATCTATCCTTGGCTGTTGCATTTCTTTTACTGTGCGTAAACAACAGAGATTACCAATCCTTCCTCCTCCTCAGAATTTCCAGTGACCTGTACCTTTATCTAAAGTATGTGGTTCAGATTAAGGAGAACAGCATTCATTAGGATGAATGAACATGTCCATTCACTTCATTGACAGTAAGAGGGGATGTTTCAGCGCTTATTTGAATCTCTTTCTGTTGAAGAGTTCACTTTTGCTGTGTGGTTTGCGCTGAAATACATGGTCACCCTGAAGCCTTTTTTCTTCCTGTGCAGTTGCACTTTGGAAGTACACTTCCCTAATACGCTGTGTGAAGCAGGCTGTTGTGGTGATTCAGCGCCAATACTCAGCTAATCCATACACAAAAGCTTCCAATGTTTTGTGGTTCAGTTTTGGGTTTTTTCCCTAACAGTGCAAATTAGTGAGGTACTCCCATATTTTGGTATGGTCAGCTGTGTTTTAGAATCACAGAATCATAGAATGGCCTGGGTTGAAAGGGACCTTCCAGATCATGTTGTTCCAACCCCTGCCATGGACAAGGACACCTTTCCCTAGACCATGTTGCTCAGAGCTCCATCCAGCCTGGCCTTGAACATTTTCAGAGATGGAGCATCCACAACATAAGGTTTCACATCTATCAAATAATAAATTTAAAATAATCTGATTATGTTACATTACTTTTACTGAGAAGATGCAGAAGTTCAATATTCAGACTTAATAAGTACAACACTGTTGTGGTGGAGGGAGACAGAAACTAGATTAGCTTCAACGCATGATGCACTTAAAATGCAGGGAATTTTTTTTTTATTCAGTGCTGCAGAATAACATTTCTTCCTGCTTTTTACATTCAGCATCTATCTTACTGTTGGTATGTTTCATAGAAAGCTGTTTGATCACAGGATTGGTTATTTACACAGCTTTGCTTTCAGGATTGTTTATTAAAATACTATCTCTGAATTCAGCAGGAATTTATGGAGGGGGAAGATGACTTTGCTTCCCAAGATAGCTTTTCTTATTTTGCTAATGTAATTTTTACTTTAATATTGGTGGGAAAAATCAGGATTATTCAGGGGTATTGCTGAAGGACATAACTGCTGTGGAGACTTTTTTATTTTCTGTCTAAAACCTGTACTTATATCAAAATGAAAACATACCCACTGTTTTCAGTAAGACCAGAGTT